TGGCTTCTGGGCAAGATGCGAGTACCCCAGAGGTAAGATTTGTACTTGAATATGATGTAACCATTACACCTAAGATGACTACAGTTTGTCATAATACTGGGTTAAGGTTATCAAAAGGAAAGGAGTGCTAATTGTGTCAGATGGACCATATGACTGTACTGGCAGAGCAGTTAAGGATGTGTACCCTTTGTATGAAAATGCTTAACTTGTATATTCTGTATATACCTGTCTAGAATATATCCCTATTTTTGTAATAGTAATTTAAATAACCTGTTGAGAGGGTTGGTGAAAAGATTAAAGACTGAGGATGACCAATCATGAGTGTAAGCATTACCCTAGATTTTATAAGGCCGTATTTAACCCTTTGACTGTTTACGCCGTATAAATACGTCTTACGCGCCACTGTTTCTGACGTATACTCATAAATTCTAGCGGCTTCAAATCAAGCAGGAGAAACCTGGTAGGCCCACATGTGAGAGAATGGGTCTGTGTGGTCAGTGTGCACCACATAAAAAAAAATCCTGCAGCACACAGTGCGTAATGAGAAAAAAAACTGACCGTTTTTTGGATTAAAATGCCGATTTTGAGGTGTATTTTCCTGTAGTATTTATCGTTGTATTCGCATTTTCATGGTCTTAGGTGATAAAATGGGAAACATATTACAGAAATAGAGATGATTTTCATTACTTTCATGATGAAAACGACCTTGAAACTGAGATCAAAGTAGCGGAAATGTTCGATTTTTACCAATGTTCAGAAGTAACCAAATCACACCACACGTCCAATACACGTCAACTGGGGAGCCTAATATTCTTTCACTAGTGCACTGATATTATTTATACTATTTTTAAAATAATGCAGGACTAGTCTGCATACCAGTAAATTTTGTATTGTTTTGTATGAATAAAAAATCATAATAGAAAGCAGTAGTAATATAAGAGGGGCCTAGAGATGTGACTAATGAACAGAGGATATGTTATTTTAGTACCAAGAATGTCTACCTTGTTTATTCTGAACCCGATTTTGAAATTGGCATCTTTTTTGATTTGGGTAGTTCAAATTGGTAAATGGGCAGTTTCTTGTACTCAACTGATAGATAAAATGTAGTTCTAAAGAAATAGCTATGAGTTTGGTCAACTGGAACAATGGAATTGGCTAAAAACAGGGCTCAAAGTCGGTTAAATCGTCGATACATATATGTCGCCGAGACCGCTAGCTTCGCGGGAGCATAATTCCTTGAGTTTTCGAGCAAATTTCGAACTTTTGGTGTCATTATCATCGGGAAAAGATTCTCTATCATTTCATAAGAAATAATTTTTTTTTTTTTTTCAAAAATTTTGCGACATAGAATGACAGTTGACTGCGACAGTCAAAGGGTTAAGCTACCCCACACTAAAACACGTAGTGAGAATCGTACCATCGAAGTAAAAAGGAAAAACAACATAACAGTAAAATATACAGGAGAAGGGGTCACTAGCCCCTTGCTCCTGGCATTTTCTTTGCCTCTTACGACACACGTGGCTTACAAAGGAAGAATTCTGTTCCACTTCCCAATGGAGAATTTTTTTTTTCAACAAGTCGGCCGTCTCCCACCAAGGCAGGGTGACCCAAAAAGGAAAATACTTTCACCATCATCATTCAACACTTTCACCTCACTCATACATAATCAGTGTCTTTGCAGAGGTGCCCAGATACAACAGTTTAGAAGCATATATATACAGTGGACCCCCGCATACCGGACGCATCGCATACCGTACAATCCGCATACCGGACGCTTTGATTGCAAAAATTTTGCCTCGCATACCGCCCAAAAACCCGCTCACCGCCCTTCGTCCGAGACGCGTCCAATGTGCGGCCTGAGCCACGCTCACATGTTCCGCCGGTGGCATTGTTTACCAGCCAGCCTCCGCGGTAACATCCAAGCATACAATCGGAACATTTCGTATTATTACAGTGTTTTTGGTGATTTTTTTCTGGAAAATAAGTGACCATGGGCCCCAAGAAAGCTTCTAGTGCCAACCCTACAGCAATAAGGGTGAGAATTACTATGGAGATGAAGAAAAAGATCATTGATAAGTATGAAAGTGGAGTGCGTGTCTCCGAGCTGGCCAGGTTGTATAATAAACCCCAATCAACCATCGCTACTATTGGTGGTACAGCTGCTGCTGCTGCTGTACCACCGTCAGCTGCTGCTGCTGCACTGTCAGCTGCTGCTGCTGTACCACCGTCAGCTGCTGATGCTGCTGTAGTACCGTCTGCTGCTGCTGTAGCATCGTCTGCTGCTGCTGTAGCATCGTCTGCTGCTGCTGTAGCATCGTCTGCTGCTGCTGTAGCATCGTCTGCTGCTGCTGTAGCATCGTCTGCTGCTGCTGTAGCATCGTCTGCTGCTGCTGTAGCATCGTCTGCTGCTGCTGTAGCATCGTCTGCTGCTGCTGTAGCATCGTCTGTTGCTGCTGTAGCATCGTCTGTTGCTGCTGTACCACCATCAGCTGCTGCTGCTGCTGTATCATCATCTGCTGCTGCTGCTGCTGCTGCTGCTGTAGCATCGTCTGCTGCTGCTGTAACATCGTCAGTTGCTGCTGTAGCATCGTCTGTTGCTGCTGTAGCATCGTCTGTTGCTGCTGTAGCATCGTCTGTTGCTGCTGTACCACCATCAGCTGCTGCTGCTGCTGTAGCATCGTCTGCTGCTGCTGTAACATCGTCTGTTGCTGCTGTAGCATCGTCTGCTGCTGCTGTAGCATCGTCTGTTGCTGCTGTAGCATCGTCTGTTGCTGCTGTACCACCGTCAGCTGCTGCTGCTGCTGCTGTACCACCGTTGTTGGTGTGGCTTATTGAGAATACCAAGAAACAATTAACCCCAGAGGATTTGCCACCCAGGATAACCCAAAAAAGTCAGTGTCATCGAAGACTGTAACTTATTTCCGTTGGGGTCCTTAATCTTGTCTCCCAGGATGCAACCCACACCAGTCGACTAACACCCAGGTGAACAGGGAAAATGCCTGGAACTAGTGCTCATATTGGTGAATTTAGAGCCAGCAAAGGTTGGTTTGAGAGATTTAAGAATCGTAGTGGCATACACAGTGTGATAAGGCCTGTTCTGGAAAAAAATGCCAAACAGGACCTACAGTACTCAGGAGGAAAAGGCACTCCCAGGACACAGTGTCTCATCAGTCATTGCTGCATCTTCAATAAAGGTAAGTGTCATTTATTCTTCATTTAGTAGAGTAGTACATGCACAATATATATTGTGCATGTACTACTCTACTATTGTGCATGTATCCTTCTCTTTGTGTGTAAGAAAATGTATATTTCATGTGGTAAAAAATTTTTTTTCATACTTTTGGGTGTCTTGCACGGATTAATTTGATTTCCATTATTTCTTATGGGGAAAATTCATTCGCATACCGAACATTTCGCATAACAACCAGCCCTCTTGCACGGATTAAGGTCGCTATGTGGGGGTCCACTGTAAAGATATATAACATATCCCCTAGGTAGTAGGTTGGTAGACAGCAACTGCCCAGGGAGGTACTACTGTCCTGCCAAGTGAGTGTAAAACGAAAGCCTGTAATTGTTTTACATGATGGTAGGATTGCTGGTGTCTTTTTTCTGTCTCATAAACATGCTACTTCTACTTACACTTAGGTCACACTACACATACATGTACAAGCATATATATACACACACCCCTTTGGGTTTTCTTCTATTTTCTTTCTAGTTCTTTTTCTTGTTTATTTCTTATCTCCACGGGGAAGTGGAACAGAATTCTTCCTCCGTAAGCCATGTGTGTTGTAAGAGGCAACTAAAATGCCGGGAGCAAGGGGCTAGTAACCTCTTCTCCTGAATATATTACTAAATGCAAACGGAGAAACTTTCATTTTTCCTTTTGGGCCACCCTGCCTCGGTGGGATACGGCCTGTGTGTTGAAAGAAAGAATATAACATATCCCCTAGGTAGTAGGCTGGTAGACAGCAACTGCCAAGGGAGGTACTACCGTCCTGCCAAGTGAGTAAAACGAAAGCCTGTAATTGTTTTACATGATGGTAGGATTGCTGGTGTCTTTTGTCTGTCTCATAAACATGCAAGATTTCAGGTATGTCTGGCTACTTCTACTTACACTTAGGTCACACTACACATACATGTACAAGCATATATATACACACACCCCTCTGGGTTTTCTTCTATTTTCTTTCTAGTTCTTGTTTATTTCCTCTTATCTCCATGGGGAAGTGGAACAGAATTCTTCCTCCGTAAGCCATGTGTGTTGTAAGAGGCAACTAAAATGCCGGGAGCAAGGGGCTAGTAACCCCTTCTCCTGTATATATTACTAAATGTAAAAGGAGAAACTTTCGTTTTTCCTTTTGGGCCACCCCGCCTCGGTGGGATACGGCCAGTGTGTTGAAAGAAAGAATATAACATATCCCTCCAAACTGCCAATATATTATATTATTATCATTATTGTGGTGAGCCAGATCCAGCACAATGCAAGATGGAGATTTACACTAGACTAAACACTGAAGATAAGCTGACACAAACTTTGCTCTTTTCCTTTATCTTACCTGGAGAGAGTTCCGGGGGTCAACGCCCCCGCGGCCCGGTCTGTGACCAGGCCTCCTGGCCTGGTCACAGAAATAGTTAATAAAAAAAAAATGTACTAGGATTAACAGGAACAAAGCAAACTAGAGTTTACATTATACAACCTAGCAGTTTTTGGGCTAAGTGTTCATTTTATACTTTACGAATAACATATTTCGTTATGTCTCCACAAGGAAGTGGAACAGAATTTTTCCTCTGTAAACCATGTGTGTCATAACAGGTGACTAAAATGCCAGGAGCAAGGGGCTAGTAACCCCTTCTCCTGTATACATTACTTAATTAAAAAAAGGGAAACTTTCTTTTTGGGTCACCTTGCCTTGGTGGGATATGGCCAGTTTGATGAAAAAAAAAAAAAATTTAGTTTTGTCCAAATACAATATCAAAAACACAAAGGGCCACATTACCAGATGAGATAGTGTGTGGCCTGTCTGAAAGATGAGGTGCAGCCTTATGGTGCAGTGCTGGGTCAGTAAGGTTGGGCCAAGTTGCATTAGATACTGCAGGTGATGGTGTGCTACCCTCAGACCCACACGACTGCTCAGACAATCCTGAGGCCTGAAATCAAAATGTCTTATTACAAAATATGCTTCACAGCTAAAAAAAATAAAAATATTTTAAATATGAATAAATGAGTGTGCACATGTGTGTACATACACTTGTGGCATGTGCATGTGTGTGGGGCATATGTACATGGCATGTGTGCAACAAAGAGAAAGAAAGAAAGAGAAAACAGAGAAGAGAGGAGAGAGAAAGAAAAAACAGAGAGATAGCAAGAATGAATAGTACAATATGTATGAAGCTAACATGGTATATCTTTTACAACACATTAACTCTATTCCTATGAGTTACACACAATGAATTTCAAGAAAAATTAATTTAAAAAACTGCTGATTTCAATCCTGACATTTCTGACTCAATCACAATTTACACATCTCATAGTAATCCATCTTTTTAAAGTTTCATTAGATTTCTTGACCTACTAAACCTCCAGTAGTCTTCTAAAATGTATGCAGGATAAAGATATAAAGATTAGAAACACAAATGAAAGACATCAAGACATGGTGCACACACTAAACAACAGTTATAATTATCAATAACAACAACATATTTAAGATAGAATTTATGATACTGCTGCAGCCTCACTGTTATCAGTGCTATCAAGTAATCATTTAGAATCAATTCTGTATTACTCAGACTATGAGAATGTTGGTCCAAAGGCAAAACAAGGCAGCTTTCTGACTGACTGTATAAGAAATGTTCTCACTGCCTTGCAAACTTTGCACTAACTATGCCTCACTCTCAGCCTAAGCTACACATATAATGACAACCTGAAGTGAATCTTGCTACACAATGCATAGTACTTAAACAATAATAGTGTACAATGTTAATATACTGCACAGTATGCACTCAAACTTCCAAATTTGTAAATTTCCTAATTCACAAGATTCAATTACCCAAAATTTTGACTGATGGGCTTCCTGTGAACAGCCTTTTTTACTGCACCCATTTTGTATTTTTTGATTGGGCTTGGCTGACAACCTTAAATTGAAAACTAACCATAGGATTTTGTTCAAAATGAGCTCAATGAGTACTGTATCTTGCTATCATCTTTATATGCAGTCTTTCTCATAAATGTTAGTATTACCTAGGTTAGTGATATTTAAAGAGATATGGCATGTGAAACACAAATTGAACTCAGTTAGAAAATAAAGTTATAGACAGGATTTAGTGGTTTTCATGAATTCTGAAGTGGTGACACCTTCTAGGACACCAACTCTCACAAATTTATGAGTTTAACTATATGTCATGGTATTAAAACTAAGATATAAATTTCTCTCAGTCATAAGAATGTTAACATACCTAAGGAACCAACTTGGTGAGGGTTTAATAAGTTAATCAAGTTAGTGCACATTAAATATGGGTGATAAAGCTTCACTATCACTGGAGACGGACACACTAGAAATGTAGTCAATCATGTTACCGTTTGTGTGTGGAGTAGAGCAGCAGAGTTGTGAGGGTGTGAAGGATGGCACAGCGTGTCCTGAGAGGTGAAGCCAGAATCCTGCGATGACACACTCACCAGCCTTGTTCCCTAAAGACAATAACATAACACACTACTACAACCAAACAAAACTCAGAACAATAAAAGAGTATGTTGTTGATCCAGTAGACACTAAGAGCATATGGCCTCACATGAAAATAACACAGGCAAAATTAACACTTAACAAGAAAAGGGTCTGTCTAGTTGTCAAGATGGTAACTGACAAATAATAAAATTTTAAGTTTAAGGTTTCTAAATAAAAACAAATGAGATTGAAGATAATTAGCTAGACATCAAGAAAAAACCAATACAGTACAAGGCATCTTTAAAAAATACACAAAATTTTTAAATTCCAGCTGCATCACATAACTGATAGTTAAAGAAAGCTTTAGAGAGAAAGTTACTTTATGATATCTACCAAGAATCTAAATCAAATACTTATTTAGACAAGGTTGTTCTATAAAGTTTCAACATTAGAAAAACTGAGCATTAATGTTGATATAGAAGATGGTAAGAATATTACATGAGGACACAGTAAAGCAGTATTAAGTGTGAGCAAGTGAGGCCTCTACTAGTGCAGCAACCAGACACACACTACACAACAAAGAAAAATAAGTCAAATATTTTAATAAAAACTTACCATATTCAATTTTAGCAAGTCAACTGGATATACTGCTCATTATGACTGAGAAGTATTTTAATTTATATACAATATACTGCACTGTATGTCTATTTTTCATATAATACTTACCTATTACTGCAAGACAAGTATATATGGCAGGCATCATAAATATGCAGGCACAAATAGTTCACAAAAAACAAGACTGCTCACTATAACCTAGTGTTTTAAATACATAATTCTGAAATAAGTACAGTAGAACCCCCGTACCTGTGGTCTACCATGGCCTGAAAATAACCCTTAATTTTGCATAATTAATAATGGCTCTAAAGCACAAAACCAGTGATGTTTGTAGTTATTCAAAGTACAGTGGACCCCCGCATAACGATCACCTCCGAATGCGACCAATTATGTAAGTGTATTTATGTAAGTGCGTTTGTACTCGTATGTTTGGGGGTCTGAAATGGACTAATCTACTTCACAATATATTCCTTATGGGAACAAATTCGGTCAGTACTGGCACCTGAACATACTTCTGGAGTGAAAAAATATCGTTAACCGGGGGTCCACTGTATAAGAGAAGCCGTGAAGTGCTTCCCATCAGTGAAAAAATGCTAATCCTCGGCTTAATACAACAAGAAAAAAATCGTATGCCAAGGTTGCTAAGATGTACAGCAAGAATGAATCTTCCATTCATGAAGTATAATAATGAACAATGTATTCAATTATTATTTAATGTTAGTTATGTCTTACTGTGCATAATTTATCAATTATACTAGTACCATAAGTATGTATATACAGTAGCGCCCCACTTTACGGCATTTCGCTTTATGGTGTTCCACTAATATGAACATTTCAAATTACTGCCAAAACTCGCTATACAGCTCCCCCCACCTGACTTTCTAATATAGTCACCGTGCCCCACCTGGTATGTTTACATTCTCTGTGAGCTCCATGAGCATCACATCTCTACATTATGTCTGGAAACTTTCCAAAATTTCAAGTGTTTTAATTATTTCATGTTTTATATATAATACGTACTCTGATAATTATACTTGTGTGAACCTGTACCTAAATAAACTTACACACTGTGCTGGCATGCATGTAAACATTCAAATCACTAAGAGTGTCTTATTAGTCTACAGGATGCTATATTAACCCTTTCAGGGTCAACAGGCCCTCTCCTAACTTGTTCTCAGGGTCGGAAATGTTTCGAAAAAAACAATTTTTTTCTTCTTGTAAAATGATAGAGAATCTTTACCCAATCATAATGACGCTAAAATTATGAAATTTGATGGAAAACTTGCAGAATTATGCTCTCGCGAAGTTAGCGGTCTCGACGATGTTTACGCATCGGCGGTTTCGCCCACTTTGAGCCCTATTTTCGGCCAATTCCAATGTACCAGTCGACAAAGATCATAACTATTTCACTATAACTCCATTTTTTTCTATCAAATGAGTACAAGAAACCACCCATTTACCGATTTCAACTATCCAATAATGTGATCAGAAATTGGCAATTTTGCAAATTTCACACAAATTTCAAAAGATGCCAATTTCCAAATAGGGTCCAGAATAAACAAGACAGACATTCCTGGCACTAAAATAACATTCTGTCTGTTCATTAGTCACGTCCCCAGGCCCCTCTTACATTTCTTTTGCTTTTCACTTTGAATTTTTCTCACAAAAAAAAAAAAAATAGAAGATTTACTGTTATGCAGACTACTGCATTAGTGTAGAAATGGTATAAATAATATCAGTGCACTTGTGAAAGAATATTAGACTCACCAGTTGACGTGTATTGGACGCGTGGCACGATTTGTTTACTTTTGAACTTCGGCAAAAATTTAACATTTCTGCTACTTTGAGCTCAATTTCAAAGTACTTTTCATTTATTTATTTATTTATTTAGTAATTTGAGCATACATACAGAGGTACAAAATTCATCTCAATTTCTGTAATATATCTTCCATTCTATAAAATGAGACCAGGAAAACTAGAATACAACAATAAAAAGCATACAAAAATACACTGCAAGGTTGCTGTTTTAACCCTTTGAGGGTCGACAGGCCCTCTCCGAAACTCGTTCTCAGGGTCGGCCAAATTTAAAAAAAAAAAAAAATTATTTTCTCTTATGAAAAGATAGAGAATCTTTTCCCGATCATAACGACACCAAAAGTTTGAAATTTGATAGAAAACTTACGGAATTATGCTCTCGCAAAGTTAGCGGTCTCGGCGATGTTTACGGATCGGCGATTTTGCCCACTTTGAGCCCCATTTTCGGCCAATTTCACTGTACTAGTCGACAAAAAACATGAATATTTCGCTTAGAACTCCATTTTTTTCTATCGAATGGGTGCAAGAAACCACCATTTATAAATTCAACTATCCAGTACAGTGGTCAGAATTTAGCAATTTTGCCAATTTCACACAAATTTCAAAAGATGCCAATTTCGGAATAGGGTCCAGAATAAACAAGAAAGACATTCCTGGCACTAAAATGACATTTCCTCTAGTCATTAGTCACGTCTCAGGCCCCTCTTATATTCTTTTGCTTTCCACTTTGAATTTTTATTCTCACAAAAAATATAAGATTTACTGTTATGCAGACTACTGCATTAGTGTAAAAAATGGTATAAATATTATTGGTGCACTTGTGAAAGAATATTAGACTCACAGTTGACGTGTATTGCACGCTTGCACGATTTGTTTACTTTTGAAGTTTGGTAAAAATCGAACATTTCTGCTACTTTGAGCTCAATTTCAAGGCACCTTTCATTGTAAAACCAGTCACAATCAGCTCAATTTCAGTAATATGTCTTCCATTCTATAAAATGAACCAAGAAAACTAGAATACAACAATAAATACTATAAGAAAATACACTGCAAAGTCCGCTGATTGTTAAAAAAAAAAATGGAAAAAGTTTTTTTTTTCTCATTATGCACCGTGTGCTGCAGGTTTTTTTTAACTGTGCACACAGAACCACATAGACCCTTATCTTTCATATGAAGGCCCTACAGCTTTCTCCCACTAGATTTTGAGGTCGCCTAGAATTTATGAGTACTAGTACTCAAAAACCCCTACGCTAAGACGGTAACTAGTACGACAAAACCCTCAAAGGGAATTTAAAGAGCAAAAACACGGTTGGAGTCTATTCTCTTTTGTCCTCATTATGCACTGTGTGCATCATGGATTTTTTTTTTATACTGTGGCACTAACTGACCACATAGACCCATTCTTTCATATGTAGGCCTACCAGCTTTCTCTCACTAGATCTGAAAGCGCTAGAATTTATGCATACTAGTACGGCACCAACACTGGTGTGCAAGCCATACTAGTACAGCACCAACCCTGAAAGGGTTAATGATGTTAATAATAATACACAACAATAATCACTCTGAAGCGCATTAAATGTATATTACGTTAATATAACCATTTTCATTAATCCATCTATGATATTTTCTTCCAAAATTATATAATAAACATGCTACATAACATATAAACATGATAAATACACCCCACAGTAGAATAAACTAACATAAATGTGAGATGTTAGGTGTAGATGAACATGCACCATCCAAAACCAGACGCATTCGTCTGTTTACATCCTCTGCATCTCTATCTCTATCAATCTCTATCTATCTCTCTCCTCTCTCTCTCCTCTTTTTTTTTTTTTTTTTTTACACAGGGTTTGACAAGGTTAAGGATCCCTAGCCTTATTGACAGCTATTTACAGGTTAAGGATTCCTAACTTTATTGGCAAGCTAAGAGCTGTTACCTACATCAGCTCATTTGACAGCATTTTTATTGTTATGAGACATACAAGTAGGGAACAGGATGAAGTTGGAGCCATCTGTGGGCCAGCATTTTCATTTGATCAACTGACTTTAATCTTCGTTGACAACAATATGCTGTACGAATGGTGTTTCCATAACTCGAGTCATCCTGGTATGTATGAATCTCAGATGGAGTGATGTTCTGGAGAAGGGTACAGGCCCCCCCCCCATAGTGAAGTTTCTGATTTCCTGCCCCGTTTGTGGATAAAAGCTGTTTCATCAATCGCTGTCCCCTCGAAGTGGATCCAAGTGTGGTATTTGACAATATAGGCCTTGTACATAACAGAAGGCCACCCACAACCCTCCTATGTTGAAAAGCTCTGCTGAAATGAACAGATCCTATCCTAGGATGGGTCCAGCAGAGACGAGACATCTTGCTCTGTCTCTACTTCTTGTCAAGGCAGTCTGCAGATGAAAGGGGGGGGAAGGCAAACCAGAAAGTGAGCATACATCAATGTGTGAGCGTACTTGTGCCTCGTACAGGATCTTGCAACCCTACTGTCAAGCAGATGCGAGATACGGCAAAGTGCTGTAAGCTTCCTGCTGCATTGTTTGCAAGATATACAACATGGTTCTTCATGGTTAATTTAGAGAC